GAGAGTGACGTCGCCGTTTTCCTCCCCCGTCATACCGTTGACAGGGTGTATAGCTGTGCGTTATCGTCTACGGTAATCACATCCTGGGTCGGGGTCGACGCCCGGGGTCTTGCAGCTAGCTTACGGCGTCGCTGTCGACTCCTTACAGAGGTCTAACGTCTCGGTGATACCAGTAAGAACACGTACTCAGCATCGCCCAGTGTAAGCCCTACTTCCTGGTTCACCGGAGCCCTGAGTTATGAACAACATCCGACAAAGAGCTGCTAACTCCGCAATCTTCGTCCAGTGGATAACGTGCCACTCCACCCGCATCTGAAGGGCTCTGCCCACGATTCCTCGAATCTCGTGCGTCCATGGCGCTCGTGGCATGCAGCAACTCTTTCGAAACGTGAGCAAGCTCAGCAGATAACGCGCCACCCCACGTGCATCACCGGTCTTAGCCATCGATGCATCAGCCCTTGGCCAGTCATGCCACACGTGGCATGCAACTGCTCCGATACTTGAGCAGCACTCACTAGGTTACGTGCCACTCCATGGTCAGCCCGCGGGCCATGATCGGGACTCCTGTCCGATACACCTTAGGTGTTCATCAACTCGGATACTCCGATGTCCAGCACGTTGACCGTCTCGGTCCATTGCCCGAGTCAAAAGCGCTTTTGCCTCCTAGCAAAGGTGGGTTCATGACTCACCAAAGCTCCACCAGGAGACGTGCCCGTAGCGCTCAAATTCGTCGACCTCCAGTCGATTCATGGCTCATGGTATTCCGGCCATGCCATACCAAGGATGAGGCCATACTCCGAATCTACGTCTAAGCCTTAGCAGCGCTCCACACTATCAAAGTCAAGAAACTTGACATCGAGGTCCACAGGTACTTTCGGCACCGTGATACATGCCCCCGTCGCTAAGCGAACAGTGACGATGTCATTCAACTGCGTCTTCGGCGCCTCTGCATACAGCTGAATTCCCTCTATCGTGGAGCGTGGAGCATTATTGCCCGACTTCGCGGAGTCGATAAGGATCGTCCGTGGCTTCTCAAATCCCTCCATGGTTACACAACCAGCAAGCGCGGCTTGCATAGACGTTCCGTGTTCAAGAGCACGGAGCTCTTCGGGGCTGGACCCTACTGTCCTCTACCTCTCTGAGGTCCAACAGAACTTTGTTTTTCCCGAGTAGGCCGTCTCGCGCCTACTGGGTGTTGTCGTAATCCAGCGACAAATTAGAGTGGTGAGAAGCGGGACGTCGGCTCGATGAAACTTGACACGCCTTGCGCAGGGGACAACCAGTCCGAAGGTGACGGGTGTAAAACACTGTCGGGTGTTCGATCACTGCTCGGCAGCTCAGTGCTCTGTCTCCTCTTTCTCGGCATGGCTGAGATTTATCGGCTCAGGCCCGCTCGACGAGCTGCTAAAGTGTGCATTCTAACCAAGTCATGCCGACTTAAAGCAAAATTCGGCATTTATTCCCACATTCACTGCTTAAAAGAAGACGGGTGCACACGGAAGACTTTATTCTGGCTACGCCAGTGCATCAAAATGATCACTGTGACCGCCTCGAGAAGAGCATCGGCTGCCATCCCGGCAATGAGAGTACGCAATCCTTGGACAAAGGCCACTAATTCTTTCTTGCCTGTCAAGCGGCGAGGAAAAGCGATCGCACGCGATGTGCCTGATTAGACGGCAAGATCACTCGTGAAAGCTGAGCTTCAGCTGCATCCAGGAGGAAAACGCCGCCTTGACCGAAGTGCCGCACGTCAGTGCCCATTCTCGCGCTCGGCATTCGAGCTTGGAAATAGCTGGTGCCACGCGCTGCTGCTCCTTTTGGGGTATGGTAATTGTCATAGCCATCGCGGCCTCTCTTACCCAGAGCAGTTTATTTTCTCCATCCTTCCCCTCGTAGGTCTTAACTCTCACCATGAGCGGCCTGGGTCGGGAGGAGTCGTCCGTCGTCGACGGTGGCATCATTGACGCAGCCGATGCCAACATCTTCTCCTCTAGGTTCTCTGGCAGAGCATTTCATAGCTTAAAAACGCCTTTAGGCGCGCGCTGATCACTTCAGGTCCTTGCGAAGCCAGGTATTGCACGCCCTCAGGGCCAAGCAAAGACATTAGCTTTTTAAGTCCAACCCGCATGCCCTGGGGCAATTAGGAGAGCTGCTTTATCCACACAGAGGGTCAGTCGTAACGACTCATGTGTAGATTGACTACAAGTGCTACCAAGTGAAGCGAGGCTGGCGTAGCTCTTTCGCTTAGAGGAAGCTTGGTGAAGGTCGGTGGCCTTCGTTCTATACTTAGAACCAGTACGAGTGTGGCGGATCGCAATCCGCTTACTCCAAGAGTAATCACAACCTTAACGCGAAGCTTTATTAGCTCTTCCGCTTAAAGCGTAAAGTGAATTTTATGCGGCAAACGCCTATAGCAAAATCGATAGGTTCTCCTATCCATACAGTAAAACGCAATCAAATGTAGAACAACTAGCTGTTCCCGCCACCTACTGACTTCTTGTTCACGTGTGCCTCAACATTGTGCGGTCACACCATCTTACGTAACCCAAACCATTGTGTGACCACACCATCTTGTGCGACCCACGCCCTTCATACCAGGGTACGTGAAATCCCGCTACACTTTCCCTCATCAAGATTGTGAACACATACAGTTTGCATTCAACTGTCGTCACAACTTTTCCAGGACCTTCTTCACGAGTTCTCTGCTGAGTAAGCCCTGTGTCGAAATACGGAGTACATTCAGCCTCGCTGGTTCCGAGAACGTCCGCGGGCGGAGCATTTGTTCGTCTTCTGCACGCGGTGCAACTTCTCTTCATTCCTACTACCTACAGGCGGTCCAACATGTCTAAGTGGATAAGCACATATGTGTGCGCGTTTGGAAGAAGTCAACGTTCCAAACTCACGTCACATGTGCCGGTAGCTGTTACCAGTATATCAATTTTGGCAGAGCAGTCGCCGTTCATAAGTTAGGATTTTTCGGTCTCCCCAGAGACGCGTCCGGTAATTCCGATATTGTTAATTTTGTGGACCGTCTGAGCAAAATGGATCACCTCGACGCAAAAGCGCACCCTCCAATCACGTTGAGGCTACTCAGTTTTTTCCAAATAGAGCTGACCCGAACTATTCGCCACCTTAATGTACACTCAGCATCGAAAGGTAACCCTCTTGTCATTCCCTGAGGCAGAAGTGGTGCGATATCGCATGTGCACAATTACGCGTGATTTGTACAAATCCAAAAGAATTTTAAGTCTAGCTTGTGTACCCCGAGCATGCCAAAACCATACTTTACAGCAAGTTGCTTTATTGTACAAATCAGATCATCTCTGTCGCTCAAAAATGTCGAGCTTTGAGTGCGATTTAGCGTTCAAGTCTATTGACATCTGCTTGAAGTAGAGCAAAACATGGGGTTAGGGCTGAAGCGTCAAGATCGACATGAAATGGTTGCTTCTGTCGCTCACAAGTACATTATGTGGCTCTCCACATTCAACTTTTCGTGCTACGCATGACAGTATTCAAATATACGGTAAACTTGATTTATGCATAGTCACGATATGGCTTGAACATCTGCGTATCCAATAAATCAACCGTCGCTAGTACTTTAGCACACTAGCGACATTCAACCTCTGGAGTCTCTGTGAAAAAGCTAGCCATTTTCGAAGCATCTTATTTGGAAGACCCACCGCAGTGAGAGGAATGTCGCTGTTCTTCATCAGTAGTTGGTAATATACATCAACCAAAGCAAGAGCACTCGATAAAGAGCGGCAGCTATTCTGTTCTGAAATGCATCCTTTTTCGATATCAACGTTTGCGCCAGAAAAGTGGCTGTATTTGGCGAATTATTAGCATTATCAGCTCGTCGTTTGCCGAAATTTTTCTGTCATACACAGTCGATGCTGGGTGGAAGATTTACTTTTTCCCCACCCGTTTTATATCTTGCATGTTAGAAATTTTTTGTGGCATCAGACTAATTATGTGGTATCTCCTATTGATGTGTGACACAGAATTCGATTCTTGGACCCATGTCGAGTTCATAACGCATTTCTGATCCGCAGGTGACAAGCTTTGTTGTTCTCATGCAGCCACATCGTAAAATATCTCGAACACGGTCTAAACATAATCGTGAGGACCATCGTGAGATGCTAGGTCACACCTTGCACTCAGTACTTCCCAAGCTTCCTCAATGACAGATCTATCCATAATGGGTGATGGGCTCAGATCTTTCTTCTGTTTATTTTGGTGATACTCCTTCTGCTAAATGTTTGTATGTATACCCTCAAAAGGACTACTTCTGTTTCATAGAAGCTTATACTGAAGGTATGAGAGAAGTCCAGACACCCATACGATAATATGGGCTTTTTAACACGAGTCAATAATTTTCTCTTCATGATAATGGAGCGTCACTAACTCGCACGGTAGGTGCCTAACACGTAGTGATCACGTAGCAGTACAAGTATATAATAACATGGATGTTATTATAAATAACATCGTGACCTGATTCTAATTGACGTCTTACAATAAACTGTAACAGCATTTGACCGCAACACTTAATCGCTACTAGTTTCTATCCGCGCTAACAGAAAATTCCGGCTTCAAATGTAATCAGACGTCCCATCAAAAGTACACGCTGCGGACAACAACATTTGGTCGCTCATTTCTGTCGCAACAAGATCTACTTTGGGCTCTAGGTATCCAATTGCAACTGTCTGTCTCATCTAGAGATCGCGACCCAGTACCAATGATGGCTTCGAGCAGTGCTAAAGGCATTCAGCAAGCTGCCAATACTCCGCAATCATTGCATCACACTACACATCCTTGGTGCTGCTTAGTGCGCGTGAAAGGCCTCGATGCAAGCCGCTTTTACTCGAAGGTCTTTCAAGAGAACACTATTTTTTATCGTTTCTGGGGCGAATTTGCTGCCATTACGGCGATAATTTGATGGACTGGACGGCGATCGCCCAAGTTGCTAAGGAATGGGGAAGAGTTCAAGACTTGTCACGCTCTCAACGTCGTAGTGGATCGTAACCGGGGGTTATCATAGAAAGGTAGGCTGGTGTAGCAGTGGCCGCAGGGAGGCATTCCAAACATGTCTCATCATCTGCACTGCGGCAAACTTCGAGGTCATATTGCCATTGAGGCGTGGCCGGATCCAAGTATTCAAGCCATATAGGGTTATAGTAATTTGAGTTGAAAACGTCAGTAGCGCGGGCTGTGCCTATAGCTGTGTTAAAGACGTAATTGAATGATATGGCTTCGACCAAATCTGAACCCGTGTGGTCGTATAGGGTCTTCCGATCGTTAGAAGCTTTAGCCATATTGGGGCATTTGGACGAATTTGTGGAGTGTTAATTTCTTCAATCATATATGTAGTGGAGTCACACTCTGGTGAGGAGGGTCGTCGTCTGAGTCATTAACTGTCAGCCCTGTCCGACATAGCGATGTCATAGAAGGGGGAGGAAGTGATACATGGGCCAGAAGACGTGGGGTTGTTTGGGTCGTGATATCATCCAACGCAGTATCAGGCGGCAACTGACGTATGAATTTTCTCAGAGATGATACAAATCGTGAAGAGTAAGACGTATTAGATCCTTCGAATGATGGGTTCTGGTCTAGGGTTGGTGTCAATGTAGGGTTAGCCGCCAAACGATTAGCCTCTTCCTTTTGATGAATACGAATAGACGGCGGCGTCACGCGGTTTTAACGACACTTTGTGGTTAACAAAACAAGGGCTTAAGAGAACCATGCCATCGTCTGGAGATGGAAACGTGGTCTCACGAAGAGGGTTATCTTGGGATGTGACCGAGGTAGTCGGTGCCTGATCCTGTGCGAAATAGACCGTACGCTTCCGTGAGGGATGGTCCTTTCGTACGAACGTAGATAACACGCACGTAGGAGGCGCACTGTGTTCTGTAAACCAATCGAAAATTATGCGATCCGTCACTTCATGAGAAAGACGGACCTGATCAATGCAGTAACGAGAAGCGTGCAATCTGGATTTGTGAGCATTGAGCTTAAGCAAGCTGGGCTTGGAGGCAGTGTCATACGCTTTGCACGTACAACGGAACCCCGCATTTGAGATCAGCCTGAAATCTTGAAGAAGACGAGCCTGACGAGCATCTTTCCTATTTAACAGTTGAGATTTGATATTTACCGCATCGAGCACCACAGCAAGGTGCATACTCTCAACTGCATGAGGACGAAAAATCCACATGCGATGTAATTCTGCAGAATTGGTTGGCGTAGGAGCTTGTTTTAGCGCAGTAAGACGCAAAGCGCTAAGATTACCGAGAGCAAGTTCAGACTCACCCACTTCGAGCAAAGAGCCCGCCTGTAGCTGACCGGAGAACCCAGAGAATCGTGTCAAGAGGCGTAGCTTAACCATTACTTTAGTCGCACAGAGTAAGTATCGTCCACCCAGGTAACTGTCTGCAGTAATAGGTGCAAAACTCATATTCTTGGGCTTTCCCACGCAGAGTATGGAGTCTCTACCGTAAGCTGCGAAGCGCGGCGCATCACAACTGCAATCCAATAATTCAGAGCTTCGCAGGCTGTAAACCCCTTAGATGATAGTTATTACGGCCTCTAAACCTGATGCAGTCAGCAGGAAATGTCAGACAACAACGAGGAGGTCAAAAGAAGAGATGCGGTGGACGGAACTTATCTAGTGCGGACGCAGAAACGGTTTATCAATGAGGACTTCGCGTGCAATTCACCGAGCTGCGGTGGTAGCTACAACGACTAGGTGGCGACAAGACGAGCGACGAGGACGGATCGGAGAGATAGGTCGTAGCGAAGCGGAGAGATGATGAACTAACGGGGCTTGGACGGTGTCGCAAAAAGGGGGGCTTTCTGAACACTTGTGCAGAAGAAGATACGGGATTCATCGATGTTCGCCATTCTATGCATGATTAAAGTGAGGTCCATTTTTAGTGTAGAACGTTCGTGTGCACATACGCATTGTCTGCCTTTCGATTTGGTCAAGGTAATAAGGATAGTAGTCTATCTCCAATAGACCCGGGATATCGAATTTGGGTGTAAAAAGATCATGCTTCTTGCTACATTTGTACAACCTTAATTTGCACATCAATATATTTTAGTGCTTCCATCCCCCTAAAAAAGAATAAAACAATTATAAACTTTTGTAACATTTCCATCAAATAGAATTAATCATTTATAGATACGGGGCTCGTGTTATATGTTTGATGTTGATGATGTGCTTGATTGAGACGCGTATATGAGCTGGCTATACTATTATGCACACGAGAGGCGTTTTGTTATCGTGTTTGATAGTTAGCTTTTGTTTTCTCTCTGTAACAAGATTAGCCCGTCCGTGTACACACATTTTTTAAGTAATGCTTAAGTCAACTGCCATGCTTCGCCGCGTGCTGCTCGCTTCCAGTGGGCCGTTGACTTAAGTAAAGAGGAGAAAAGGTGAAGTGACGTTAATTATTTTAGCCAATTGGCGCTCAACCCATCTAACATGATAATTGGCTCCAGTTCTGAAACAACAGAGCTGAAAGGTATACAGGGTGTATAGTTTGTGTTTACCACTGGTCCACACAACATGTGTAATAGGACCTGGCCCAAAACATCACCCACTCAAAAGTGGGATAACCAATTGTTTTTTATTTTCTTCAATTCTTTTCTGCTTCCGCTCTTCGTCACACTCTTCGCCACGCTCTTCGTCATGCTCTATCCAACTCCCCCACAGTGACAATCCACACGCTCGATCCAGATGATATCTTCGTAACCATCAACTTGGAATAATGACTCAATACGACGTCATTCAGCGCATTTGCGATAACGTGAATTTGATCGTCATGATGACTTTTACGATGGTTGTGGTGGTTATCCAAGAGTTCGACGAACTCTTTTGCCCAAACGGGTGCTCGACTGATGACTCGAATTGCGTATTCTCGCACCATTGGACTGATCACTTGTGCTAGAGGTGATCCACAAAGCCTCACGTATCTACCATAAGTCCAGCAATCCAATTTGGATTCCATAGAGACAATTGACACTCGATTCTGGGCATGGGTCCATTGGGCGAACCCGTGACCACCCACCGCTTGCAAAGCGCGAGTACCGCTTCAGACATGTTGAAGGTACGCAATATGTGCTTTCGATTTGTGCATTTGATAGCGCAGAGTTGGATTCCCTCCGAAAACGAGGATGCTCGTGAAGTACGCTCGGTCATCAGGCGATTTCAGATCGAAAGGGAGAGAGGGAGATGAAAACGGGGCAGCTTCCTTAAGCGGAGTCCGCCTTCGTACCCGCATCGAACGCGCGAGCAATACTGGGACAGTCACGAAGTATACGAGTTCGAGGCTCCCATGTATTCTCGCTCGCTGGAGTCCCTAGCCATATCACCAGTAGCTTCTTCCAAACGCGATCGTATTTTCTCGCCACCGCGTTATCGACGTGGTAGTATCGATTTCATTGTTAATCTAGAAGATGGGGAGGTGCATGAAGCGAGCGTCCCCTGAGCTTCTTTTCTGACTGGTCCACAGTCTTTGTTTGCCTTGGAATTGCGTTTGAAGGAGGTGAAGAAGCTTCTATCGCTAGTGAACTAGCGGCTGATCGAGGTGTCCGATCGGGTGTCGTCGACGCGACAACGCGTGAAGGGCAATCGACAGGTCGCTCACGAAGTTCGCAATTTCGCTTAGCGTCATGGATACTCGCCTGGAGACACAATCGAGAATTGAATTCTTCGTTTGAAGCAGGCGATGTAAGCGTATGCGGCTGCTTTCGCTGACGATGCGGGGCCTCCTGTCAGGAGATCTCGATCTGTTTCGGGCGTTTCCAGTTTTTTTCGTCATTTCGAGGACGATGCTGAGGCGAAGACGCCAAGATTTCAGTTTTCGACCCTCGTGCCGAAGCCGTGGTCTTAAAGCCATTTTTGAATCAGACTGCATTGCATTCGTATAGAAATCGTGTCGTCGCAATGGTAGGGATTGAGAAGCCCTACGTAGAATGTTGGATGTGTCCTTAGCCAGTTTGGTAGTCGATAGTGCAAGCATTCATATGGCATGACACTACCTGGAATGGACCGATGAAGCGAGGAAATAGCTTCAAGCCTTCCAAAGCTTGAGACCGCATCGTCTGATAGGTTCTTGGTACTACTTAGTTGGATTAGGTACTAAGTAGGTAATACTTTGTACCTAATCCCCACAAAAATTACATTTTGTCTTGACGACCCCGTCTATCCGCGTATTCCTTTAGCAGATCTTGCGCATTCTCCAATTCATCTCACATTCGTGTGATCACGTTCACACGACTTATGATGTATGAGTCAAGAACGTCCATGTACTTGCGCTTCACATTCGTATCAATTTGGGAGGCAACGATTTGCCAAGCTCCTCCCACACTTACATCGGAAGACACCACACATCGCACAAAGCGGAACTTGCGGGTGTCGCAAGCCATTCATAAAAAACGGCGTAGATCAAGTGGATGAAAAAATTAAATTGTTCACAGCAAACACAACCAATGGAAACAACTAACAACACTCTGGGGCATACTCCGCACAGAAGCTTTTCCACATATCCCCGACCACTCGGTTGGCATGTTCTGGTTGTCCATCTATCTCCGGGTGTACCGCTGTGCAATAATCCAGGCGAGTGTTAATATTTCGGAACAATTTTCTCCAATATCCACTCGTGAATCATGTATCACGATCAGAAAAGATGGCGTCTGGCAACCCGTGATTGGAAACACGTGATCAAATACCAATTTAGCCAAAGCGTCGGCCTCGATGCAATCGGTTCAAGGAGCGATGCGAACCATCTTGCTGAGTCTGTCAACAAAGACTCGCACTCCTTGTTGCCATCGGCATCCTTGGGAAAGCCAAAAGTAAAGTCGAGACCGACTGAGTTCAAACAGTCAGCAGGAACAGGAAGACTCTGTAGTGATACTTGCGTGTGCTGTGCGCGTTTCACACGCTGACATACATCGCATGTCTCACGTTTTGTGCCACCCATTTGTACTTGTGGGGCCATAAAAATTGGGCAGTGAGAGTATGGTAGGTCTTTTCATGGCCAAAGTGATCGGCCATTGTCGTAACGTGCGCCTTGTACACTGTCTTATACCTCAAATCATCGTCGTGGTGAACCACAATCCGTGGCTCATCGTCACGTACAACTTCATAGTAAAGGAGACCATCCTTCCATGCATAACGATGCAGCCATAATTTCAAGCGAACCGAAAGGTTGTCGCGGAGCTCCGTATCACTCGGTGGCAATCTCTGATGATCAGATCGCACTATTCATCTTCAACATACGCTCGAAGTATCTTATCGAATACATCGCTTCGATATTTCTGATATGAGCTAGCTCATTTTCAGGACGACGTGGCAATGCGTCTGTCAGCACGTTCCGTTTCACTGGCTTGTGCGCGGTCCTGAAGTTGTATTTTGCTAGAAATGACAATCAGCGAGCCATTGCCTGCGACAAATTAGGCGACTGAACTGCATAACGCAAGCTTGCGTTATCTATGTAGACGATGAACGGAGTTATACCCTAGAGGTGAACACGAAACTTCACCAGAACATATTGCATTGCCGTAATCCCCTTGTTGTGGACAAGGAAATTCATTTCTGCTGATTTCAGCAGTCGCGATTGAAACGACACGACACGATCGTGTCTTTCAAAGTCCTTTTACAATAATGCAGAACCTGCAAAGTCAGAAGCGGCACATACCACACTGTACGGCTTCGTATCATCTGGTAAAGCAAGTAAGGTGCTTTTATCAAACTGTTCCTGATTTGAGTGAATGCTTTTTTCCAATTGGATGAACACTCCCATGATTCATCCTTTCTCAGCAAATTTGATCGTGGGCGTACCATTTCCGCGTAATTACGCGAGAAATGATGCAGTTATTGGACAAACTACAAGATATTATGATTTCGTGCGTTGGCCACCCACGATTGCTCTGACCTTCTCAGAGTCTGCACGTACACCGTGCTCACCAACACAACAACCGACGGCCGGTACTTCGTTAGCACCGAAAATGCACTTTGCACGATTCACTTGCAATGGATGTTCACTGATACATTCTAGCACCGCACGAAAATGCTCCTAGTGCATTTCTTCAACAGATTTGTCATTTTCGTCCTCTGAGTGAGCAAAAATAGCATCGAAGTATATTTGTGCAAAGCGTCGCAGTGGTCGAAACATTTGTGAGACCAATCGATGGAACGTTGCTGGGGTATTGGATATTCACAAGCCACTCTCATAACATACCTGACGGCTTATTAACGGCCGTCAAAGGGTTGACCTCCTTCCTCATCAAGATATAGTTCCATCCATCGACCAAATCAAGTACACTAAACTGTGTACAGCCAGATGGATATCCGTTGGATGATGACATCCTTACGCGGAATCGACGTCTCCGCGGGAATCGTCTGCGCATTCAATTTGATATTGGCTTGAGCGATACACCATTTACCGTTTGGTTCACGCACACAAAACTTCTGTGCGCTTTGAGTTGACTTGATCTCCCACAACAAACCAGCAGGTTGCTTTCTAGAAAAGAACCTATCGATATATTCACTTAGCCTACGTCACCGTGGCCACTGTCTAAAAGCTGCATGCTTTGAACCAGGTTCACGATCAACCTTGTGTCGAATTCCACGTTCGGGTCGAAGACCAGAGGGCGGGTTCGCACCAAGGACGTCTTCCTTGTATTCCAAAACAAGTGAATTATAAGGATCAGTTGGATCCTTCAGGATAGCAGATCCTCTGCGTGACTCCACCCGCTGTCAAATTTTCTCGAAAATCGAATCATCTGTAACTTATGATGAGCATAATCCCGCTGAATCTACCTTTGACTGTAGCAACACGACCTCCGCAATTTCATCACACTTGACGTCGTGTAGGAAGTCTCGTAAGTGACTTCTTCGAGCTGCACCAACTCTTCCATCATCGGCAACGGTGCCAAAAGAACATCCGTTATGGTAACATCACAACCAATCGTTACATATACAATACATGGACCAGCATATTCGCACGCTATATTTCCCTAATGGGGAGTAGTGCACTAGACTAACTCACCCGCGGACTCAACCACACCATCAGTAACGCGATCAACAAATTCCGTTGATTCCTTCACATGTGTCATACAACGGGTGGCGGCACCACCTTTGTGGTCAGCTTTACCCACTCACTTTCATTCCGACTCAACCACTGTACTTGTGGGAGTTTTGGCATATCCAGCCATAGTCGATTCCATCGACTTTGTACAACACACATGTTGACGTTGACAACAGTCTTCTCTTGGTGTGCAACCACCGGGATCTCTCCCTCATAAATTCTTCTCGTAAGGCAAATCGCCATGCCCAACAACGACTCATTCGTTTTGAAGTGGGTAGTTCCGGGCACCATTTGGGCTATCGACACACTTCCTGAGTGACCACCATGGCCACTCCATACGACTCCGTATCTTTCCTAACCTGGGGAATGTCAGTTGCATAACATATACCAATGAAGTGAGAATCAATTCTTGCAGCAGACGACTGCCGAGCGCTTGAGCACTACTATCGGTGCATAGTGAATGTGGGTTAAGTCTTCAAACTTCAGTTGGAAATCAACCATAACTTTTTTCGCGGTGACAACCCCACCAGTGGCCAACCTCACTCAGATAAAGTCATTGCTTCTATCTAGTGCATCCGAAAGCACTGTATAATATTCAGCAACACTTCGTTTTCGCGCATAGTCACGCGGTGTGCTGGAGTCAATCAAGACTTTAAACCGACGACTGTAACCCTTTACACTCGCTATGACCAAGAGGAGACCATCCCAGCCCGTGTCGTTAACAAATGACAATGATCTGTCGAGGGCTAAATCCCCATGGGTGGTTCACCACAAGAGCTTATAACTGCCCGAGAAGACCGCCCTGCATCTTCTGGCTTCCGGCGTTTCCCGAACGCCTCGTGGTATCGGTACCACGTGACTTGAAATCATTACGAGGAGACTGAATTAAGATGTTCGTCTCTCACGTGGACAATCACGGTGGATGCGACAGAATCTGTAACAGCAAACTTGCTACCTACGGACAGTCATCGCGCTAAGATCCATTGGCCCGGAATTTTCGGTAGCAGCTGTCACTGCTTCCATCGAGTTGGCCGAATGATCACATGCCTGACGCTGACAGTAGTCCATAATTACGGTGCCTATCACTGTCCCTGCCAGATTTCACTTGCCATATTGGCACGAAAGTTACGGAGCTTCTGCACATAGTCGTACAATGTGCCGTTGTTTCGCATCAAGAGAATTTTTATCGTGCGATGGTGGCGTAGGTCAAACTGGGTGGAAAGGGTAAATTTGGCTAGAATGTCTTAATATGCTCTGCCTACTTGCATTTTCTGCATACGTCGCCGACAGTCACCCTTCGAATTTAATCTGAAGGCAATCTTCAATTAAAAGATATCGAAAAACTCTAAAATATGTCAAAGCCACTAGCCAGCATTTCTTTACACCAATATTGTCAGATTGAGTGGCACATCCTATTTTTTGCGCACACGAAAAGCACGACAAAATTTGTTGTTACCAAGTACTTTCTCACGAAGAAGGAGTCGTAAAGTCGCTGCTTCCAAAGGTTTTTCTCGAGGCCGCCATGACCGTCTATAGCTGGGGTCGTGGCGAAGACGGGCAGTTAGGTCTTGGAGACACAAGTGACCAGCACCGCCCTGTGACTATTGATGCCTTAGCCGAGCGCCGAATAGTGCAGATCGCATGTGGTAGCGGCCACACTGTCGTCCTCACAGGTGCGTATGTCTGCCCATCTATCATTTCGAAACTTTCAAAATAATCCAGAGCTGTGTTTGACAGATGAAGGAGATGTGTACACCTGGGGTCGTGGCGATGATGGGCGTTTGGGTCATGGAGATAACGGTTGGAAGTTCGTGCCACGCCTCGTTGAAGAGCTGCGAGGTAAAAGTGTTCGTCAGGTCACGTGCGGTAGCTATCACACGGCAGCTGTGACAGTATCAGGCGATTTGTATACATGGGGAGGTGGCATGTATGGAAAATTGGGACATGGCAACGAAACAGGTCATTCGACTCCGTACTTAGTGGAGACTCTCAAGAGCATGCAGGTGCGGCAGGTAGCTTGCGGAAGTCGACACACGGTCGTATTGCTAGAAAACAAAGATGTTTATACGTGGGGCGATAGAGAAAATGGAGTCTCAGGCCACGGAGACACTGAGGGACATCAGTACTTGCCTTGCCCAGTTGAGGAACTTCGAGGCAAGTTTATTATTCAGATTTCAGCTTGTGGCTTCCACACAGCTGCTTTGAGCGAGTTTGGAGAGGTATTTACATTTGGAGAAGGCAAGTTTGGACGCCTTGGACATAATTCAGAGCGAAATCAGCCTGTTGCCCGCTTAGTGGAGGCATTGGCCGGCAAATGCGTCAAGCAAGTCGCTTGCGGAGGATTTCATACAGCCGCAGTTACAGAAACAGGGGAAGTCTACACGTGGGGAGGAGGTGAACATGGACAACTTGGACACGGTGACAAGCTAAATAAAACAGTGCCTACGCGAGTGGAAAGTCTAGTGGAGAAGCTGGTTGTGCAGATTACGTGTGGTTGGAGTCATACAGTTGCGCTAACGGATAAAGGCGAGGTTTATACTTGGGGAAATGGTGACCATGGCAAGCTCGGGCACAATGATACGACTAAAGTCACATTACCAAAGCTGGTTGACGTGATGGAGGGGAAACGCGTAATTAGTGTAGCATCTTACAATGAGCACACTGTTGCACTCGTGGATCCTGTGGCAATGCTTCGTGCTTCCACCCTGACTTCTTCATATGTTGGTGACATGCGCCAGTTAATCGATAGTGCTGAGTTTTCGGACGTTTCTTTTCTTATCGAAGGACGTGCCGTCCATTCGCATCGTGCCATTTTGGCTGCTCGTAGTGACCATTTCCGCGCCATGTTTTCGTCAGGAATGCGTGAGTCTCATGAGCAAGAGATTCCATTAATGCATACTCGGGTGCCTGTTTTCCTAGCGTTGCTGGAGTATATATACGTGGACTCGGTCAATGTAGGCGCTGAAATGGCACTTGAATTGTATGCTGCCGCTGATTTATATACGTTGGATCGTCTCAAGGGTCTTTGTGAAATTATTGTGCAAAAGAACATCAATGTTGAAAACGCAGCTGCCCTTTTTCAGTCTGCGGACGATCTGCACTCGTGCCGGCTGCGTGAGATCTGCCTTTCATACATGGTGCATAATTTTGACAGTGTTACTAAGTCCGATGGTTTCGCTAATCTTTCCCGTGATCTCATCTTGGAGGTGCTGCAAAATCGGTAGGAGAGCGAGCCAAGTCATAGCGGCCAAATTACAGTAAAAGTGTCAGTATTCAGATCGTGTTTTTGATGATTTATCTAATTTACCCCTGAAATAGAGGTTTTCTTCACGTATACTAAGACACGGTTCTTTGATCGCATTGACTTTCACATGCTATTGCTCTCTCACGCCACATTAGTGATCTTTTGAAAATTCCAGTCATGCACCTCGATGCGCTTGCCGACATCCTTTAAGTTCTTGGTAACGATGTCTAGCCAGAATTCAGCAAGCTGAAGCTCAGCTTCTATTGATACATACTTCATCTCAGCACGATTGAAGTCGCTTTTACTTTTCAGCCAAGTACGATGGCTTTCAAGCAGCGCCTCTCGCTTTTTCTCCATGATTGGATCAATTAAACGGTGACTTCCATTTCCACTAATTTGATTTGTTGACGTCCGCATAGTAATACGGCCGCATTGTGGGGGTGACACGGTAACTCGTTTTGGAAATACGGTTACTTTTGCTGGAGAAGCCGACCCATGTGGTGCCGGGGAAGACGAAGTTGCGCAGTCATCGTGCGAAAGATGGCTAAGCAATCGGTCGTGACTATCTCTGTGGATAGAGCTGGAATCTTCATAAATTCCAGTAGCTGTTTTTAAATTCTCATTAGTGCCGACGCTCTTTGACTGAGAAGTCGTCTGCTTGACATCAATGAATTCATCGGGTCCATACTTTAGCGTAAGATTTGATGCAGACGTTTGTAGATGCTCAGCTGCAGAATACCGCGAGTTCGAATGACCACGTGATGATTGTGTTTGTGAAGCCGCACTTGCTTCTTGGCGCCGGCGGGACACTGATCGAGACTGACTTCTCCAATGGCGGATCGGACTACGACTTTGCCGACCCACACTAATACTGCGATTGCGATATTCTACATCGCGTCCGCACAGGCGATCTGCAGAAATGTGCTTCTGCAAGCTAACCCTACGCCGACTTGTGCTGCAACTTCGGCGAACACTAGAACTGCAGCGCTCAATATAATGACTGCGGAGGCTTTTCGGCGCTGGGCTCAGTTCACGAGAGCTTGAGCTACGGTAATAAGAATTTCGGCTACGTTGGCGCGACGATTTGTGCTCGTCACCACGTGCACTCGGGCTGCGTTGCCATGTATGAGAACTTTTACGCCGCGGGCTGGGGCTGCGTCGATGACGACTTACTACCCAGCGACTGGCATCTGTGCTACCACTTCGGCTGCGTATAACGCCGCTGTGGAAGCCATCTCTACTGCATCTTGTCCCTTGGTGCAAATAACTTTTGCGACTGGCGCTGTGGCTACAACTGCGGCTGTGGCTGCGATAGTGGCGGTCTCCTTTCTCCCGTCGGGGAAGATAATGCTCTCGACTGGCACTAGGGCTTCGGCTAAAATGTGGGCGATCAGATCTGCCTCCTCGATGCACACAGTACTCACGACTGGCGCTACGGCTATGGCCACGGCTATGGCTACGGCTACGGCTACGGCCACGGCCACGGCTACGGCTACGGCTACGACTGCAATTCTGAAAATCTGTCCTAGTCCGCGCCTTTCTTGTGCTACCCACCACCAGCTTACGATTTACGATACTTTGACTTACACTGCGGCTGGTACTTCGACTATGGCGTCTGCGTCCACGCTCGTTGCTGCGATAGCACGGCTTGTGGCTGCCGTTGCGGCGTGATGATCGGTGTTGATCCATCAGAGAAGCTTGTACCGGTATTGAATTTGAATAAGAAAAATTGCAAAGGGTGAAATTACTGTAATACCGTATACTTAAATCTTACGCATTTGGTACAATTTTATGTGTAGTTGTGAAATTGCGTAAGTACCGAAATATCGATATTTATAAGGTACATTGGCCACAGAAAAAGAAAAAGAGAATTATTACGAGTCATAGTAAAAAGTATATATTTAGTTTTAGTCGAAATAGAGATATTTCTCATCAGTTACCTTATACAGGAATGCACGAACATAAGCTTCATGTGTTTATAAGCGCGGACTCTGAGGACAAATCTTCTTTTGGGTAAAGTGCACGGCAACCTCACTGCAAATTGTAGCACTTGTAGTCGATTCTGCGACCGCGTTATGGAAAGACTGTATTCTCTACGAGGATGGAGCATGAAACGTTCAACTTGGGTTCAATAGACCAATTTAACAAGCTTTTGTTTATCGAGGAATCCGATGTGATCATGGAATCGGCGATCAGTAATTGCTCGCGTGGACACGCTCACCTGCTTTGAAAATGCGCTGGCGAGGCACATCCAAGATCGCCCAACCGGGCACCAAAAGAAGAACAGATGTTTTTCACAGTAAGACCACTGACGTTGAACAAAAGCGCCTTTAAAGTCGAAAAAAACAATCTCTCCCATTGGATGGTGAAATTTGAGATGACCAAGGATTGGTCTTGCTCTAGTCGAAGCCCTAGCACGTCGCAATTGCGATCTACAAGCTAGGAGGCTGCGCGCCAAAATATGCAATTACGTGCAATGCCTCAATAAATGAGGCGTTCCCAGCGTGGGATACTTTAAAGCGTCACCGTTCACTGCTCTCACTGCTCAAGCAGGCCCTCAAGGTTGTTGTGTGACAGTCAGGGGAGGCGATCGTCGTCTGACATTTTTCCAGAGGCAATAACCATTTTCAATCCTCACGGAGGGCCTATGAACAAATGCGGCTCGCACAGAATTCAGCGTACCCCTCTTCTTCTTTACAGAAGCGTTGGGTGTCGCATTTAATGCGGAGAACAACTTTGTGCTGCGAGGATATTGCATATTAGCACTATTAAATTTTGCTATTTTTCTTTCGTGCCCAATCGCACGACGCTCCTGAATCAATCAAGACTCGCCATGGCTGAGCAGATTACTAGAATAATTGACAGCTATAGGCTGTCTCTAATAATGAAGTGATGACCCGAGGACTGGAATGTATTTGACTCCAACTTTATGAGGTACAACACAATCCCGTCAATAACCAACAAGATGACATATTCCCGGTAAAAATCAAAATTTTACCGCCAGGAGTTCTCCAGCGACTCCTCGATTCACTCAGTCGTGACAGAAGTAGACACTCAGGTAATCATTTTCTGGTGCTGCCACATATGTAACACCAATGAGTACCACTGCGCAACTCGACAGTCAAGAGGCCACCTCAGATAAGGTGAAGTCCGCCTCTTTTGCTCCAGTCACAGAACCCCCAAAATTTGCTACGCAAGCAATTCAACGCCCACCAGTTTTGCGAGAGGCATGGTGAGCTTGGGAGTCTAGCAGCTCTCATGTCCCTCTGGCCTCTTCTTTTCGGATAAGTACCCTATCACTCATTGGGGGATACAACAGGTTCGATGCAACCGGGTCCACAGTACAATACAGTTGTATATTTGGTTATGACTAGCTGGCAAAGATGGTGCATGCCTGTTTGGATTGATAGCAAGAAAAGAAAACAGACCTTTTGTCCAGAGATTCCGGCCGCGGCAGGCGAAGGGTGCGCTTCAAAAATCTCGTTAAATTCGACTTGTCAAAGAAGACAATGCATTAAAATAAAGTTTGTACCATGCGCAAGCTCTGAAAGGTATGATTTTTTAAGCTAGCCAATTTGAAGCGTCAAATAGTCTAACTCTGCCAGATAGTCGCAGCGTGCTATAAAATTGTTGCTTTCGCTGTTGAGGTGAATAAAAAATCTTAGTGCCTGAACCAACTAAGTACATGCAATCTCTTTGGGCTTGGCTGAAGCTTTGGAGACTCTGGCAGCCGAGTTTTGTTTTATGGTATCGAGCTTACAAGTATGATTTGTTTCTAAGCATGTTTTGACTTCAACGTGCGATGTCCTGTCTTTTGTCGACTCAACAGATTTGTGAAAACAAAATCCACATGTTTTGGTGGAACAAAGCGAAAGGATGGATAACATTTTGATTTTGAAGAGTCTCGAATGTAGCGAAGAGACCCCAAATTAACGATCTTGTTTGCGAACCAGTCTCATTCTTGGTATAAAGTAATGTGTCTTCAGATTTTCTCTTCAAGCTCACATTTGTTGCAAGGTATTTCTGTACAATGTAAAATTTAATGTGAGTTATTTTATGCAATCGGTTTACAAAAGTGCGGCAGGTAATGTTTGTGGTAAGCTGAGCAATATTACAGTATCAGTATCATAAATTGTTACAAGGACGTGCTTCCAACTACGCCGCAAATAGTGCACTGAGCTTTTTGGTGTACACACCCAGATCCACGAGAAATACATTAAATTAGTGCTGAGTACTCCAAGTAGAAGCAGCTGAAAGTATCACGGATTGGTTTGGATGTTGTAGCATCATTTACTTGGTTAGCTTCGAAATTGACCCAGCACCTTTTGTGTTTGCAAAATCGCAGTCAAAGGATGCACGCACAATCGGCGCTGTCGTCAGCCAAGAATTTAACAATAGTCGCAACTTTAGCCAAAGGCCTAGATCAGCCAAATTACCTCTGCTGTATGGCTAGAGGTTCAAGCAATTATTCTCTCTGCATGCCTGACATATTCCATACACGTCACGCGGATGTGCACCAGCTGTTAGTGGAGTCAACGCATCAATGAGCTTGTTCAGCGTCAAAACCATATTTTGCAAAGTGTGATAATCATTGGCATAATGATTGTGACGAATGTGGTGTACAGTTTGCCGATCTTACAAGTGTATGATCTGTATTCGAAAACAATCACGCTCCTATAAAATCAAAATTCGAAGTTACTATTGGAGAGCTTCATCAAACAAGCAGAGAAGTTCCTCATGCTGACAATCCAAAACCTTTCATTTCTGACTTGACATCACGCTGCAAAAAAATAATTCTACAAAATTGCCCGAAGCGTCTCATCCGATGATAAGCAAACGTATCTCGTCAGGCTTAAAACAATAAAGGGACGCCATATAAGTTTGCCTTCATGCTGTCAGATGGGTTCTGGTTTTTGACCCTATAAAACACGTCGATTTTCTTCAGTCGATCAGTAAAAGGGCCTTTAGAAAGCACTGTGGAAAACGCTACCAAGCCACAGTCTCCGATTCTTTTTACGACAAGAATTTGCTAATTTTCCAATGAGAACCTCGATCATCATATATTATATATAAATTTCTTTGGCGGACGAGATATTGACAAACGTCTCGACAATCCTACTAGGATTACATCTTAAGCAACGGTGATTCCGAGTTTGATGTTCTTCATGAGGTGCATGGTGCTTTATCAATGAGCATTTAAGCGGTAAAAGAATCACGTTCTCAACCCCTCAAAAATCTGGGGCAGCGCGGTCGTTTAACCGCTTTAGAGAGGGTTAAGCTTGCGTTAGACTGCGACTTTTGGTTTGGCTTGCGGTCCAGTAGTAATTTCAGCGTCAGAGTCGGCTGTAAAAGGGTGGTTGCAGCGGGACTGCCATACCTCTTTGCTTAGAAAAAGCAAAGCTAAGGTCACCAACCTTCGTGATAAACCAGAACCAGTAGGAGTGTAGCGGATCGCAATCCGCTACTCCAAGAGTACCTAAAAACCTTAACCAAGGCAAAGACGCTTTCCCGTTCAAAATTGAAACTGTATCAAATTGTTGTATTTGCGGCAGAGCCGCCTCCATCTAAAGCCTTAGGCTATCCCAATTAAATAGTAAAATCTAACTAATATGCATAACACTCCAAAATATGGTGCCGTGGGGCACGTTCATACCACTCCTGGAGGTGGGAGCGGTGCATTGCCGCACATGCCTCGTAATCGCTTGAATACCTGTGTGGCTTCGTTGTGTAAGCGACGAAGCCACCGATACTGTTGGTACGCCGGAGCCGGTAGTCAATGTGACTTGTTGCAAACGCATTAGCAGCCAGCCATGATCATTCAGCATAGAGAAAGTCAGCAAGGCATCGAGCCTTGAAGGTCGTTGCAACTTGTTGACGGAAGCTCCGTTGGGGTTCAGCAACCATGCACAGACTACACCACTGTCTCCCTGATCTGTCGATCCGAGGGGTGACCTCAAACTGAAAATCCACTTTAGCATGAAACCAGATCGGTTAGTTCAGCACATAACCAGAACGAGCGAGAGGAGCGAGGTCCCGCCATGTAACCTCTCACTTGACCCGATACCACAGACGCCAGACCTGTCGCCACCATTGGGACAGAACGTCCCATCAAAGCAGAGCACCGTGCCGCTTGGGGCTAGCAACGAAAATATCGAGAAATTTTCATGGGACCCATGGTGGCAGCACGAGTGACAATACTGCAATTGCTGGTGTGGTCTAATTTTGGTGTGCCGAGGTCGACAAAGCGATGAATTGACGCAGCACGTTGGGTTTCTGACGCTTGAGCAAGGATTCGATGCTGGGTATAGACAGACGACCATTGGAGCGGGATTGATAAAGAACTCCTTGAGGATTAACTGAATGTGCTTTGCCTTGCGTTTGCAGCGACGTGCTGGCACAAATCTGTTGAATGTATATTGCCACTGTCTAACAGCACGATGTGGAACTGGCACGTGCACCGTGTAGTGCCACAACCGAGAGAGAACCATTGTCAGCACAATCAGCAGACGGCTTCTCAGGGTAGGAGCGCGACGGAAGCATTCGAGAAATTCCTCTTAAAAACGCCGGTCTAAGAACTCCAAGATGGCGTTTCGATTGGATCTTGGCCGAAAAGGATGCTCAGGAACTTCACTGCCTCCCCACGCCAAAGAGTCCTGACCCAGGATGTTGGGCGGGCTGATTTTTCGATTTAAAGCGTAATCACATATTTGGTAAGATTAAGCTTTGCCCCAGAGCCGTCACAGTACAGCTGAACTAGGTCAAGTTGTGTATGTATTCCGGATGGAAAGTTGGAGAGCAGCGTTGAATCATCGGCAAAAACGACGCTGGTGATGGTGTGATCTTCGGAATGCAAATAGCGTGCTCTTCATGTTGCCGGAGCAGTAGCGAGAAAGCGGATCAACGTGTTTAACTTCCCCGTGTGGGAAAAATCGGTGGTTGGATGTGACCGTTGGGCAAGAGATGTGCCTGTGGAAACGTGTAGAGAAGCTTTATCCAACCAGCGAAAGCGCAACCACAGCCCATGCGGTCTAGCACCTGGAACATATAGGCCCAGTTGACCCGATCGTATTCCTTCTAAAAAGTCGAGAAGCATGGCATAGGCTTCCTCTTTGCGGGCAGTTACGAGATCCTGCAGATTCACCATGAAGCGCACGTGATGACGTATAGACCGACCTTTTCCGAACGCCTTCTGATCGCCTTGAGGATGAAAGGTTTGAAGGCAAGAGGTCAGGACCTTGGACAGGGCTTTAACTTCAACACCAATGAGTGAGATTTGTCGGAAGTTGCCAGGATCATCTTTCGAGACTTACATGCACAAAGCTGACATGCGCTGGGAAGGGAGGAGCTCACCGCGCGACAGCTGGAAGTTGAAAACTGTACTCAGGCATTTTCCAAAGTCATCAGCTGTGACGCGGTAGAAGCCATCTGTAAGGCCATCCATGCCGATTGCGGAGCTGGCTTTCATGTACTTGAGCGCGTCGGTGAGTTCAGCTCAAGAAATTAGGGCATTTAACAAAGCTTGGTCTTCTGATGTTAGACGCTTGTCAATCGTGTCCACCAGCTCTCGTTGAATGTCAGGATTTGCAATAGATGGTGATCCTGTCGGACTGTCAGTCTCACTCATGATAGCTCCCCAATGGGCTGGAAACTAGCAGAAGTATCAGCTGAGTTTCGCGAGATATTGCCTTTTGAGAATCAAACTTCTCCAATGCTAAACCTTCGGAGTGATGGATCGAGCGGAGGAAAATGTATCTGAAAGACGTCTCGGCATTCTGACCTGAAAGCCAAATGCCGAGACTTGGTTATAGCAACGATCTGGGACACGCAGTCGCGATACGCACGAAAGGCATGTTTGGAGACGGTGTCTCATTCGATGCGGTAACTTGTCACTGCTTGGTCTAGCGAAGCTTGTGCTCTTCAATTGCACGTCACTTTGGTTTCATAGTTTACGTTGTAGAGCCTGGGTATGTCTCCTCATGGATCTCTTCCACTGTTTTGAGACCTTGCCCGGGTTGGATGCAACATAGAGATATTTGAGGACTTGCTGGGCTTTGCCACGAATGGCATCCACAACATCGGGGTTATCCAGGATGTACTCCGGAAAACGCCAGTCGCCGTATCCGTGAGGCTGAGACATGGAGCGCAGTGTCACTGTATATGCGAAGTGGTCACCTGCGCCCTTACGCTCAAAATACTTGTAGTCGTCGTACAGCGCGTTGCAGAAGTCTTCCGACAACAAAGCGTAGTCAAGTCGGTTCTGGCACGGCTGGGGGCCACTGTAAATGCGTTCATCTTGGTGATGGATGTGCCAGGCATCTTTAAAACCCAACTGACTTAGCCAACTCATACAGGCGTTGCGTCCTGGGTGAGCACATAAGCTTGGTTTAGAAGAGTCAAGACCAGGGTTGAGGGGCGTATTCAAGTCGCCGAGAACGATGTGTGTGGCATTGTCTTCATAACGGTCCACTGAAGATGGTCGAAGAAAACGGCTTTGTCATGATCGTCCACTGGCGAGTTTGCGTTGTCGATATACACGGGAGCATTGGCGACTACCACTTGTACGACCAAATAGCGCCCAAGCACAGTCAGCTCGCGAAGCTCTGTAGCTGTGATGAAGCCTGGAAAATCAGGGCGAGTCATAGTGATCACATCGCCAGATCGGTGTGTTGTCTGTGAGGCACTGACCGCGCCAGGGTCATTTGACGAATAGCCTGTGTTTGAAGCGGGACTGAAGGTTGAACTTGAAAGTATCAAGATGGTGGCAATCGCGAAGTTTGGTATCTTGGATCCACGAAAGACTTTTTTTTGCAAGTGGGTGCTCGATGAGTATATGCTCATTTTTCTTGATCCCATTGGTGTTGATGGTCAACAAGCTGACGTCTTGACATGACAATTCAGGTGCATCTATGCGTGGGATTTCCTTAGTAGTTCGGCGCAAGCTTTCGAGCCGTAAGCATAAATTTGCCTTCAGCTTGCTGGAGCTGCAACACTTCTGCATTCTCTGGGAAGAAGTGGTCGCATTCCCGAAGAAACTCAAGGCTCCTTGCCATTGGACCTCTTTCCAGATTTTGAAGCGGTGCATGCCGATCTGTGAGTGAAGCAGGACCAACAATATATTGGGGTGCAGCAGACGTCGATTGTGTGCTGGGTTCCAAGGTCTGACCATCCTGTCAGAATCTGAGGCCAATAATCCTTGTCAAAGATCATGGGCGCTGTACACATCGAAATCAGCTCGAAGAGCGACAGTGCTCTGGTCGCACGGGTAATGATCGCTGTATTTGAATTGATCCTTCATAAGGCAAAACTTCGAAATACACCATCACGCGTCTTAGGGATCTTGATGCCGACATACTTGGCCCATTTGCGGGCAAACGTGTTGGTGGCGGCTGGATAGGTCGCTCTCAAACTGCGATTGATCATGTGGAGTTGAGCGACCTCGGTAATGTTGGGGATCAACTCGCGCATCTGCCGTTGAAGCGCGGTGTTAATCGCCATGGGTGCCTTGACGGAGCTCATGAATGTCAGCGTATCAAGGTTGTTTGTCGTACGGAGTGCTTTGTGAAGACCATCCACCATAGCATCGAGAGCAGCCAAGCGGTCCGGTGACAATTGGAGGTTAGTCGTCTCCTCAGCAGCCTCCATTTCGCTGACTATTTCTTGAATCAGCATGGGTTTATTAGTCTTTACGATATGGGTGTGATACTTAGTAAGGAACTGAATGGCTTCCTTGCTAGAGTTAAAGTCGCGCGGAGCTTGTACCTTCCGCGGCACGATATGAAAGCGCGGGGTCGTATCCTCATCGAGCGTCGCTGGACAACAATCGAACTCGACCTGGACAGTGCTAAGGATGTCGAACTCGTTACTTGTTGTAACTCCGCATGGGGTTTTGGACAGGATTTCACCAGCATGTTTACAATGTTCTCATCAGCTCGCGATCACTCTCCTCAACGCTTACCACCAATAATTAGCAACAGCGCAGATTGGGACGCTACTGCTGCTGGTGGTAACAGTAGCCGAGAAAAATTTGGATTGCCAGGTGGTGACACGACCTGGGAAACTGCAGTGCCAAGAAAAATCTTGATAGGTGCTGGATCGTCATTTGCGGCTGCGGCGAAAACAATGGCAGCTGTCCTGGTGGAGCTTTTGCGGAGCGATCGCTGAAGCGAAGTTTC